CCGGCTGGCCGTTGTATAAAGCGGCAGCTCCTTGGCCTCGAGCGGCTGGTGCGGTTGGGTGGGAACCCGAATTGAGGCCGATTCGTGGTTTTGCTCGGTCGGTTCCCAGGTCTCTTTCAGTACGAGATTTGCCTCGATTTGGCCCTGCTTTTCAACGGGCTTCTCTAAATAGCCTCTTCCCCTGCTTTGGCAGAGCAGGGGTTGGCGGCCGGCTCCGTTTAGATAATGCTTTAATCGTCGTTTTAATAGCGCTGTCCCCGCGAGGAGCAGGCACGTGTGGTCTCAGCTTGGCAGCCCTGCCTCGTGCTACCCCTCGGCGCTTCCCGACCTGGCCAGCGCGGGGCTGGCCTTGCCTTGCCTTGCCTTCCCCGATCCCCCCGCTTCCTGGCCGGACACGCTTTCCGTTCCGGATTGATTTGCCCGGGGCAGCTCCGTCTGCCTGGTTCCCTCCGGCTGACGATGCTCGAGCGCCGCTGTAGAGAGCTCTTACTCGAACCCCTGCTTATCCCTGTGTTAGCTGAGATTAACCATTGACAATGGAGAAACGGTGATCTCTATTTGTACATCGCGTTAACTCTTTTTTTGCCCAAGTCAATTCATTCTCCTGGGTAAAGAGCGTGTTTTTTTTTTTTTTTTTTTCCCCCCCGCTAATTTACCATTCGTTTTGCATCCAGCCGTGGATGCTCAGCAGTCGTCCAGATACTCCCAGCGTGCAGGACCTCGCCCCGGCCCCTCGCGCGGGGCACGGATAAGAAGGGCTCAAGGGCATTGGCTTTATCTTTGCCGGGGAGCGGCTCTTGAGACCGCTGTCGCGGCGCTTCTCCGCTTTGTGCCTGCCTTTCCCCATCGGCACCTCGCCCCCCCTCCTGGGAACGTGGGAAGGAAGGAGCGCTGCTATTTAACGGGGCGCTTTTTGAGCTCTTCCTTGGGACGTCTGGGCAAGGTGGTGCAAAGCCGGGAGCAGCTCGGCTGGTTGCCTGCCCCGTGGGAAATTTGAAAGAGTTGAACCCCTCCGTGGGCGCTCGTTGGTCGCGGACCGACCGGCGGCGGAGCCTCGCGGCTGCTGTTTGGGCTCGAGGCTGCTGTTTGGGTGGAGGCAGCAGCCCCGGTTTGGCGACTGCGTTGCGTCCCTTTACGCCGAGGGCTGCGTTTGAGCCTCTTGCAACCCGCAGCTTCCTTTTTCTGGCTTTCTCCCAAGCCCTAACCCAAACCAGCTACGGATACGGGCTCTTCCTCCTTCCACTGAGACGGGTTTCTGCCGTCGCCTCTGAAGGCTTCTAGTGACAGCACCTGATGCCATATAACGTACCAGGGTGGCCTGCGCCTGGAAGAATACAGGAGTGACCTCATTTGAGTTTATATTTGACCCACGTAGGAAAACATAAAGGAAGACAAATCCTTAGTTTTTTGCTTTCTTTCCTGTAAGGCACCACACACCCAGTTATTGACGGCGTAATTATATGCCAGCCGAGTGGTTGTTTATAAAAGAAGCGTGATTCACGGCTGCTGGGCCTGCCACAGGAGCTGGAAAGGGTTAACAACCTAAAATTATATCAGTTGAACCCGGAGCACAATAAACAGGAAGTTCTCCAGAAATTTTAAATTTAAACATTGTGACTAAGGTTGGCTGGTGCTCCGTGAGCCGCTCAGGAGGCCTGGGTTACAGTCCAGGTTTATTATTGGTGGCTAATTATACCATTGGTGGCAAAACAATGACAAAGATTGGCTGAAAGGAAGCGAGGAAGGATCAGGTCGTTGGATAACGTTGTTTTTGCTTTCGCTCCCCTCCGTTCACGTATGGCTTTTCCTCCATAGCGTGGCGTTTGTGGAGCGTGGCACTGCTCATAGCTGGATTTTACAAAATGCTCGGCTAATAAAGATATTTTCAGGGGTTCAAAATAGTCGGTAGAAAGCGTTCCCTGTTGTCTGATTGAACAGTGTTAGCAGCGTCGGCGCACGGGAACGCGTAAGTAAAGCTGATTAGAAACCACTGGAAAACCAACTCCTCTGCGTTGCTGTCCAGCAGTGAGAAAAGCAAGCTGATGAGACAATACGACCGTCGGCCAACTTAGAGCCTTAAAATGCATTTTAGTAGCTTAAACTTTGGGGAGCAGCATGAGGATTCGGTGAGGTCCGAGAGGAGGCTCTGGCCCCGTGCCGGGGAGCGCCTCGTGCGCATTCGGGACAGGGTGCCGTCGCAGAGGAGCTTGGGCGCGCTCTGGTTTAGACATGCCTGAGAAGAGGTGCTTGCAGTTTATTATGGGCCAAAATTTTACTTTTTAGTTAAACCAGTATAATGCAGGAAACGGTTTACGTTGCGCGATTTTGGATGAGATATTTTAACCACGCAGCACCTCTCTGACTTAATTGAATACATTGAAAACAGCAGCTGAGGATTTTTATTATACTGAGAAGTGAAAGAAATCCAATTATTTTCAGGAAGGCTGCGTGGCTGTAACAGCCTGACCGAGCCAAGCTTACATACGTTGTGTAATTTATTGTGAGTACTCTTCACCTTTGAGCTAGCTCGCGCGGGGAAAATAATTTAGGTAACCCAGATTTCACTAGCAACCATATTAAAGATTTGCAGAGTGAAGGCTGTTCTGCTGGCAGGTGAGCCGTTTCTACAGCTGTTGTATCAGAGAAATCCTTTGAAGCAGCTCACAGCTCCAGACACTCGGGTTGTTCCTTTTTTTAATATCCTCTTTCTAAATATTTACAGGGTTTGTTATTTTTTTCCTCCCCTTCGGATTTGTTTTTAAACGTAGCGTGTTCTTCAGCGGTTTATTTTGCCGAGGAGCGCCTGAAGCATGCACTGCTGTTATTTGCATGACTGGGACGGCGACGGCGTGGGGAGAAAGGAGCGCTGCGGCCGGCGATCGAAGCGCTAACCTCGGGAAGAGGGAGAAGGGCTCTCGAAACGGGGTCCGGGGCGTTTCTGCGCCGGGGACGGCAGCCCTGCTCCCCCGAAAGCCTTCGCCGCGGACGGGTCCTGCGGAGCTCGGGCTGGGGCGCGACGTCGCCTCTGCGGCCAGCTCCGCTCGCTTACGTGTTTCCTCCTCTCTCCCTTCTCTCTTTTCCAGGATACCGTTCAAGATTGGGCAGCCCAAGAAACAGATTGTACCCAAGACAGTGAGTAAACCCGTTCCCCCTTTTTAGATCCAGCCTTTGATCATGTGGCTGATGAGTCAAGCCAGCACTTTGACTCGTCCCACTTTGTGAGTGTGCGCGCGCGCCCGCGTGTGTGCGCGCGCCCGCGTGCGTGTGCGCGCGTGGGAGGGAGAGGTGAGTGAGCAGAACCTGTTGCTGCGTTTGACCACCGCTCGGTTCCTCGTGCTGGGAGCGAGGGGGAGTCCCAACCAGAGCGAGTGTTTTGGTTTGGGATCTGTTCCTTGGAGGGGGGAGAGCTCCTTTGGTCTGGCACAGTTTTCCTAGGAGATGGCTGCACGGGCTTCCTTCCTTCCTTCCTTCTTTCAGCAATGGCTTGTTTGTTCATCCTTTCTGAGCAGATGGAGGAGGAGGAGTGGTTCAGATCGCTGAATATAACTGTTTCCAAAGAAAGGCTTATAAGCTGAGATGCTTAGTGCTCGGGCGTGAATTAATTTGTGCTGCACAGCATTTGCTTTAAAAGCAAATTAAAAAAGCATTTTGTATTCTCATGTATTTGAGACTCCTATCCTAAGTGCTGTTACTTGCAGCTGGCTGTGGTATTTTCCCTTTTTAAGCAGATGGTCTTTGTCTTTGTCCCATGCAAAAACGCTATGGGTCCTCGCAGTAGCTGTCCCTGAAAACTAACCTGTACACCTGCTCTAAAATAAGTACCCTGACAGCAAGCGCGGTGGAGACCTTGTCTTTATAACGGCATTGGTGACCTAATCCCTTGAACAGACTAACATCTCTGATCCTTCCTCTCTGGGACGCTCATCGCAGCTAATTCCTCAGGATGCGTGGGCACTCGTGTTTACGGGGCAGTTTCTCCTTGGGACATGACATTTTCCCCTGGAGGCAGCGGGCTAGCTCTGCCACTCCCTTCATGGCTTGATTGTCATGTTTTATTTTAAAGGATTTGGTAGTTGTGTGCTGCTGTAGAGCAGCAATTTTCTGTAACAGCTCCAAACTGTCAGTAAAAAATTTACGCCAGGCACGCGATGAAGTCAAGTACCGATGAAATCGCTCAATCGTTTTTGCGTCTCTTCAGCTGCCCTTTTTCCAGGGGCTGGAGACCAACAGGTGGAAGTGGCACTCTCAGCGATCCCTCAAACGGGAAGCGATGCAACCCAGCAGCCTCAGGCGATTCCACCGATCCCTGTTCGTTCAGGAGCCCCCACGTTACCTTGTTCTAGCGACCTCCAAGATTTTGCCTCTCATCCGCTTTCCCGTGCTTTCTAACACTGCTGTCCTTTCAGGCTGTTGCAAGAACCACCTGCTCTGCAACTCTGGGTGTCTTGAACAGCTTTCTTGGACGTCTCCATCCCACCAGTTCTCACATCCAAATTCACTATATTCTTTCTTCTGCCAGTGCCTGCTCATTTCCCTTTGCTACTGCTGCCGTTTGCTGTTGTGAAACGTTTGCCTGAAAGACCCTCTCCCCGGCGAGGTAGCCTGGCTCTCGGCATGCAGCCTGCGCTTGGCGGGCCGTGCACGCTTGCTGCTGAAATCAGCCTTCCCTGAGCTGCGGCAGGAACCGGGCTCCCTGTAAACGAGTGGTTGCACCTTTGAGGGCTTTCTTCCTTCTGAGTGGCTGGTGTGTTCTGTTCCGAGGCAGTTGTTGGCAGGGATTGCTTTATATATATGTGTGTGTGTGTGTGTGTGTGTGTGTATTAAATAGAACAGCTCAGAATATCCGGCAGGCAGAGGCTCATTCAGTAGCGTTAGCAGTTCCAGGCCTTTTCCCTTTCCTTCCTTCCTTCCCCCTCTTCCTCAACGCCCTGAAGAAGAACAACAAGTTTTTGTGTCGACGACTTGGTAACTCGGAGCCGGTTGCCAATTTTTAAATGGCTTCCACTTGCCATTTATTGATTATGATGATATTCTCCAGGCAGCAGATAGGTGGAAAGCAGAAAACAGGAAGCCCAAAGCCTTGTAACCTCACAGTAAGTGTAAAGTGCAGCTCCTCAAAGAAGAACAAATGGCAGGAAACCACCAATCTCCCCTGGGAACAAGAAGCTGAGACTTGCCCTCGCCTCAGTTTCGCAGTGTGGAAGTGCTGGGCTGCTTTGTAGCTTGAGTGAACTCGAGGCCCCCAAGTTTACTACCTCCCAGTTGCAGGCTGAGGCCTTCCATCTGTGCGGGCTTTTGTGAACAGCGGTAGCAGCCGACAGTCTGGTTTTGCTGCCTGTGATATTCCAGATGTTGGCCTCTGGAGCCTGCTGCAGGAAGTGGGAAGGTGTGGCATCTCCAGGGCTGCATCCCAAGCTGATCAGGAGGGAAGTGGTTGCGGGTAGAGGATCTCCCACTCACAGAGATTGGACCACAAAAAAGGAAAAGAAGAAAAGCATTTGTCAGAATGTAGCTTACTTGGCTCTCCTTGAAGCATGCTAATTCAAGCACAGAAGAGGGAGAATCACTTTGCCAAGAGAGACTTAGCTCGCCAGTGTGCCTTTTTTCTTTTTTGATTAAATGATGCTGGTGTTGGTGTCAAATCTAGGCCGGTAGTAATACCAAAAGGCAATTTGTCTGGGCTGCAGAAGGAATTAGTCATGACTCCTTGTGCCCACTCGCTCCTGATCCTTTGAAGAAGGGCATGGTGTCAGCCACGGTTTAGCTCTTCAGGTAGAAGGAAACCCCTGTAGAAAACATCGGCTGGTGAACTGAAGTGATCTCCCGCCCCCCAGACATGCCACTGCTTTGTTTCCACCTTAACCTGGGCAAATCCAATTCCAGACAACATAATCTCTCCCCTCCTCTCCCCTGAAAAGAGCAGCTGTCACCGGGCTTGTACAGAGGCGAGGAGCCCGGTGGGAGGACCTAATGCGCAGTGAGGACCTGCTGTCAGCGGAGCTGCAGAGGACATGGTAACACAGCCCAATTAAACTAATGCCCAGTGATAGGAGTTAAACCTGTTAGAATTATATCTCTCTGCAGAATGTTTATTGTTCAAATCCGATGCACAGATGAAGCCTCTTATGGCAGGGATGTTCTTCCCTCCCCCAGGACAACTCCGGTCTAAGCGGAGGTTTATGCTGGAACCAGAATCGCGGTCGTCTCCCGAGCTCTCTTGCGGCTCCAGCTAACTGAAGTTCAGCTGTGTCAGCCCGAGGTTGTGCCCTGCTCTTCACCCCCCCCGCCTGCTGCCCGGCGAAGCTAGGGGAGCCAGCTGGCTCCTCTTCCCTCTGGAAAGGTGGGAACGCGGAGCATAGTCCCTTGGTGGGGTCCCGTGGGGTGCAAGCAGCCGGTTTTACCCCTCTCTCCCCGCTCGGTGCTCCGGTCTGCGCTGACTCAGATGCGCAGCCTCCCTCCGCTGGGTAACCTTGGGTGAGTCAGCTTGGCAGGGAGCAGAGCCCTGAGCTGGGGCCCTGCCGGCCTGCCAAACCTCCCTTCCTTGACTCATCCCCACAGCTTTGCGTTCCCCCCGGCCCCTGGACAAAGGAGCTCCGTGAGGATCACGCTTCCACTGCAGCTGCCTCCCGTCAGCCTGCGTTTCCACTGCGCTCGACGAGACCACTGGAAGTCTCTAAATAACGGCGTATATGTCACAGAAAAGGTGGGGCGAAATTAAACGACACGAATTAAATACTTCTGCTCCTTTTCCCTCTTTTCATTAAATCTTCAGCAGGGCGTGACCGATCTCCGCGGTGTGGAGGTACACGCTTTTTCCCTTCATAGCCTACCATCTAAGCAGCCCTTCTTGAAAGCACTGTGCACCTCCTCCAGCTTGCTAGAGGGTGGGCTTTTGGGGCCTGCCGGTTGGTGAAGCCCACAAAATCCTAGATATGTTTGTAGTCGGTCTGCAGCGCCGCTTTGGCTCAAGACTTTGCTGTCGGACACAGAGACTGTCGTGTCTACTGCTGCTGTTGCCCTTCGCCCAGGTTACTCACAGAAATTCTGCCTTGCATCTCCTCCGGTTGAATGAGATGGCTACAGCCCAGCAGAAGTTCCAGGTTATAACAGAATTTCTGGCCTAATTATTTGGGTTCATTTTTTGGAGAGGAGGGAGGAGAAAGCGTCTGCTTCTTCCCTCTTTTTCCCAAGACCCATGAAGAGGCTGAGACCACTGGAACATGTAGAAATGAGCTAGTCCTCCTCCTCCAGGAAAAGAAATTAACCTCAGGGGGGATAAGAAGGTTCATCACAGTTCCTTATTTCCATCTCTTTGTAGTGTTGGCTTTGGTCTTGCTTCATTGCCTTGTAACCATGGTGTTTATTATATTGCCCTTAAAGAAGGTAGGGTGTTATCACAGGTGGAAGGCCCAGTGTTTGCAAACAAAAATAAGTAGGTGAAAAAGAGGATCATGATTTTATTTCAGTGCTCGTTAAAAATCATCGTTCTTATGTAGATTTAAATAAAAAGCTGTAGAAGAGCAATCCTACATTAACTAACCCATATGCCTAGAAGAAAAAGCGTTCAATACAGAAACACGTTTTGATTTTCAGTTTTCAGAAAGAGGCTGCAGAGAAGTGGGATTATTTTAATATTACGGAAACTTCCCTTAAGGATATTGTAATTTTCTTGCCTGTACTTCTTGCTCTCGTCATTCTTAACGTGATAATCCTATCCATAGCCTTTTGCCGTAAGTGTCGGATATGTGTGGCCGTTGATGATAGCTACTGGGAGTGGGAATTAGTGTACCCTGCAAAATGTGCTTGGCTTGCTCTCAACTAGTCCTTGCATGCTCCACGTGCCTTTGATACACCGGTTGTTGCCTTCCTTATATCTGCATTGCGTGAGCCACTGAGAGCAGGTCTTACCTATATCGTGCATCAGGGGCCCTGCTTCTGGCCGTTTGTATCGTGTATCTGGGCCCCTGCAATGCAAATGAGAGCAGTAATGACTGGTAGGGCTACATCAGTGTGCAGACTGTGATGACTGGTAGCCAGTTGCTATTGTGGGCGTGAAAAATAAGAGCAATCCTTGGGCAGCTGTCTCTGCATAGATGGCACTGGAGATGTGAGTCAGGCCAGGCAGCTGAAGCGCTGCCTGGTAGGTTCACCTCGCTCATATATAGAAAGCACACAAGAAAACCAGGTGCAGTGTTTCAGGGAATCTTGGAAGTCCTGGAAGAGTCTTGAGGGCATGTCATCTAGAGAGTCACAGGGTGTGAAAGTAATATCTTCACATCCATTAGGCAACGGTGCCTTTCTCTCATCTGCAGGCATTGCACAGTAAAGGGAGACCTGAACAAAAAAAGGGACTGGGCAGATATCAAGAATCTTTGCAGGTAGTTTCGTTTCATGACCGAAACCTCTGGTCCTCTGTGGAACTGATTGCCGAGCCTCCTGAACTTGGAGAGGGCTGGAGCTCCATGTCAGGGGAAGGATCCCACCAGCCTTCAAAGGACATATTTCTGAGTCATGCCCGACCCTCTGTGGTTTGCAACCAAAACAATTCACACATAAGACATATAAATAGAATGCAATACTCTGTGGTTATTTTTGCAGCCGGAACAGCCATAGAAATATGGGGTGATTTTTTACTATGTGCTGGTTACCTGACCTCCAGGCACCAGCTGCTGCGGATTTTTGCAGAACTGTGAACCAGGCAGTAGTCGTGTGAGCTGCCCCCACACTGATCCATGCCTGTTCTCCAGCGACCATTTTTAGCAGCAAGAAAGGGAGTTTGAGCTCCGTGGAGCTTTTTCATCAGCAGGGAGAGCCAGCATGCATCCCTAGGATGGTGGGATCTGATGGTGTGGACAGCTGTCCACTGGGAATTGGGCTGAAACTCAGCACGCTCACTTCCCAGGCCACTGGCTGCCTTTAGATTGGGCTGATAGAGTCGCTGCACGGTGTACATGTGTCTGAAAGGGCAGATCAAAAGGTATTTAGGAAAGGAGGTTTCAAGAAAACTGAGATACTGGGCTCCATCTTAGAATGTTGGTATTTTAATAGCAATTTTGACTGAAAAGCACATGTCAGTATTAAGTGTTCTTGCTTCACATAGTGTTGTTGCATTGAGCCTGGGATTGAAATGCCGAGGACAGCATGCAGATTTGGAACAAACCTTTGGATCCTTCTAGTCCTGGCTGCTTATAACATTTTAGCATTTCCTTAATAACGTGGTAGCTTGACAACACAAATGAACCCAGTTTTGATCCTATGACAACAAAAGCGCATGTATTTACTCTGGGCTGGTCAATTGAAAACCATTTGCTTATTTGCTCGACGAGGTGTGGAATGAATGTTTAAGTGTGTGTTAAAACAGTCAGCATGGAAGGAAAGTTCCTTAAAATATCTTATATCACTGGAGACTTGCTGCCAGATAGCAAGTAGGAGGAAGTAGTCATTGATGTAACATCGGGAGAAGGATGAGCTCTTCAGCTTGCGTGCTCCTTGCAAGCGCAGGTTTCTCTTCCTTGTGCAAGGTGCTGCAGTCCAGGTGGACTGGTGCTCTGCTAGAAATATGTGACCTGAGGGAGTTGTAGTTATATGGTGGACTGTATTGTAGGAGTGTACATGGGGGCAAATGATATGGCATGGTTTTGGAGACTGGAGGGCTCAGTGATGGCGTGCGGGGTATTGGGAGGGGTGGACGTGTTGTCCAGCAGTGCTGGACAGTCAGGGATGCGCTCTCTAAGGAGGCCTGGACTGTTTCAAACCCGGGTTGAGGCTTTGGGTTTGGAGTAGTCCAGGTTCTCCTGCGGGTCCCAGCCTGTGCAGCAGCATGTGGAGTGGGTGGCGTCCTCTGAGCTGTTGCAGAGGCTCCGACGGGGGAAGGACGGCAAAGCCGGAATACCAGAAGCCGGAAGAAACAGAGCTGATGTCAGTCACGGGTGCAGAAAGCGGTGGTATGCGGGCAATTCTTCATACGCTATGAAGTGGGCTTAGGTGATCCTGTACAGCATGGTATCAGAGGAGAAGGACGTACTCTCTGCTTCTGGGGTGATCATGCCTCCAGGAGAGAAGAGAGGCTCGTCTCCTGCGAGCACTGAGCTGCGCTGGGCAGAACAGACACTGCAGTAACCGAGCTCCCGTGTCAGTGTGTGTTAAGCTGCGGTTTCTGTGCTTTTAGGGCCTTCCCGTTCACTTTGTCAGCTTCCCGCTCGTGTGCTGGAGCACATCCTTGGAATGAGCTGGTGCAGTTGGTGGCAGTGACTTTTGCTCTAAGATAGCCTGGAAAAAGAAAAAAAAAAGATTTCATTTACTTTTGAAACTTTTACTTCCTATTACAGCTCTAGCTTATGCTTCTCTGGGTTCATGCAGGCATTTCCTGAGGACAGGTTTTGCTGCGCAGGGTCTGGAACGGTCGGGTAGCTGCCACTCCGTACTGCACTGCAGTGTCTTTGAGCTGATGTGAATCTCTTCTTTCCACAGGTGGAGAGAGACTTTGAAAGGGAATATGGAAAGCTTCAGCAGTAAGTGTTAACCATACTGGTGAGACAAGAATAGTAGTGTACCTATCTGTTGTGCCATCTTCCCCGGAAATTTTGTCCAGTTACGCTCTTTCTAGCAAACCATTTGCTGCTGTATAATTTCTAATTGTTCAGGGTTTCTTTCGTTGGTGGGTGTTCAAAGGTGTCCTAAAAAGTATTTGCAAGGGGTTTGAGGGTTGCAAATTATGACAGCTGTAAAGTAAAGAATGCAAAATTCACAGAATGCAGTGGGTTACCCAATGGTTCGACTTTTCCGAGGACAAATACTGGTTTTACCATACTGACTGTGTCATGTCTGCTCATAGTTATCATCTGGAAGCATATGGGTTTACCATTTGTAGTAAGTAAAAGGATTTAAGAAAACATGTGACTTTGAATAAGAGGTCACCAACCTGAAAAGGTTGAAAAACATCTGAGAACCTCCTGAAAAGGTTAGGCAGCACTGAACTTTATGGATGTTTTTAACTCACAGCAGCACATACATGAATTGTTACATATCTAATACATTTTGATTTGTTTCTTTACAAGATTCAGAGTTTGCCTTGTTCTTCCATCTTTCAGATTGGAAGATCAGACCAAAAAACTTCAGAAGGACATGAAGAAAAGCACAGATGCAGACTTGGGTATGTGACTGTAGGATACATAGACTGTGAACTTGGCCACAAAGAGATGAAGTGACTTTCTCAAGATCACATGAGTAATCTGTGACAAGTCTGGAAAACAAATCTAGATCTCTCAGTCCCACTCAGTTTTCTTAGTTACAAGGCCATCTGCACGAGGGCTGCTTGCTGAGCGGTAGCTCAACCAAGGGAACAGAAAGTATGTTATGGGCTTCGTCCGTATCTCTTGAGCTGACTTGTTTGTTGTGTGGCCTTGGACGAGTCACTATCCTGTCTTTGTCTCACTTTCTATAACTGAAAAATAGGAGTGATTATTCCAGTTCTCATATTAGACAAGCAGCAGGAGTCTCCAGCTGAGACTATTGTGCTAAGCAGTGCATGCTCACGTGCTTCAGTTGAGGACAGTTTATGCTATCTGAAGCCAGAAAGTGGGATGAGCATTTGGGGGTCTGTAGAGCACCACGTTGGCACTGGATGCCTGTATTTCATGTCTACGAACTGCTGACGTGGTGGTTCCCATTCAGGAATAACCCTCCTAGTTCTCTTAATGGCTGCTTCGTTTGGCTTGACCTCGTTGCAGTGGGCGATGTAGGAAGCAATAAACAAGTCATCTCTGCGTGTACTGCCACAGCTGCTGGCTGCCGCGTGTGCAGAGAGTGACATCTGCCCTGCAGGTGTCCCGTCCCCATGCACATCAGCCCCTGCCCGCTCACTGAATAGCTTCTCCAGTAGGAAACCAGAGTGACCGCACCACATGGCGCGGGGTTTAAACAGACATGGGAGAGACTAAACCGTCTGAAGGAGGGGAGCTGGGAGAAGTGGAATTAAGTGGATGCCGATTATTGAACCAAGCAGGGCAGCCTGCTGAAACATGCAGCAAGGAACTGTTTTAAACACAGATGGCTTTTCTCAGCATGTGGTTTGGAGCAGTCCCTATTCGTCCTGGGCCCCCACAGCTCCAGAGCCAAGGCAGATGCACCAGCGCAAGCAGGTGTGGGCTGGACTGGTCCAGCATGCATCTCGGGGGAGCGTGGTTCACAGAGGGGTGGGAAGGAGCCCCACCAGGCTGTTTGCCAGCAGGAGGGCTGGTGAACGTGGGGCTTCCCATGGTACAGGTTCTCACCTCTGTGTATGGATGCGTGTGCGTGCTCAGGTATTGCCAGAGAAACACAGGTCCTGCCCGCTCTTGCGTGCACTCTGCCACCCTTCCAAGCACGGTGCTGGTGCACACGCATGCTTGCTCAGGGAGGACAGTGGGAAAAGCACCAGTAACCAGCGCTGCCGGAAAGAATCCTTTCCAAGGGGAAAACTGCCCTTTCGTGGGACCCTGGTCATTGTCAGGGATCCTTGCTAAGTTTTTCCTTGTTAAGGATTCCCCTCCCCTCCCTTGCAGTGGGCGTTGTTTATATGGAGCATTTCAAGTCCCAGAGGAGCTGTGGGAGGACTTTCTTTTTCCGTTCTGCTACATGGCAGAGTCACAAATGAGCCTTGGCCAGATCCAGTAAGATCTGATTTCTCATTTAAAGGCATGAAATCATGAGTATAAGGGGAGAATTTGAATGTGGTCCTGTGAAGGAAGGGGAGATAAATCTGACCAAGCAGTGAGGACTGCTCTCCTCGCCTGGCAGTGCCCGTAACCAAGAGGAGATAGCCAGGCTTGCTTCTTGCTTCGCTGACGTTTAGCCCCCGTGTCTGCTGAGTGTGGCAGCGCACCAGCTTGTTGTGTTCTCCTGAGTGTCTTATTTCTTCCATTGTACCTCTGCATTGAGGGGGTTGATTATTCACTCTGCCTGCAAACATTCCCTGCAAATTGGACCTGGTGGCTGAGTCTCCACCTTCTGCCAAAATAGACTCAGCTCAGAACAAGACCGATTCCTCCTCCTGTGCAGAAGTTTTCCTGAGAGACTCAGCTGCTGCCCTGCCAGCTGCAGCAGCATGGCTGGGAAAAGGGTATGGGTTATTAGCAGCACTCTCTGTACTGTGGCTGACAGAGATCACTAACCCCCTTCCCCGCCCTCTTTCCAAACAAAAAACTGGTATTAAGGAGCAGGAGGATGTTCTTTAATTTGAGGCGAGAGCTCTCCTTTCAAAACAAAATGCAAGTGCTCCACTGGATCAGCGTGTTGAGCTTTGCTCTCTGGAACGTGCAGGGCTGTTCTCCGCTACTTTTATCTTGATTCAAATAAGCAGCGATTCCCTAAAGTCAACTTTCTTTCGTTGGAATCCAATCCCGCACGCTTTCTTTGCGGAGAGCTGAGCTGATCCCCCTCGAGCCCACGCCGGGAGGCAGGTGATGCTCTCCTCCTCTGCTCCGCTCTGCTCTCCTCTCGCAGCTCAGGGAGAGGCGCGTGGCGTTTTGAGACCGCCTTCGCCGCTGCGAGTGGGGGACGCCCTCCGGTCGCTGCGTCCCCGTGCGCGGCCGGGGACAGAGGGTGGGCCGGCGTCGGCAAAGCTGCCTTGGGAGCAGCGGCAGGCAGGTAGCTCTTTGCAGCTGCGAAGGTGAGGCCAGTGATGCAGGGGAAATGCCTTGCCCGAAGTCACAGAGCAGAGCAGGGCTGGGGAGTCTTGTTTCCCGGCCTCCAGCGTAGCCCCGTCCTGCTGTCCCCATCTCCCCTACTTTGTACAGTTTCAGTTCTCTTCTTTTGAAGGGAAACTGTAATTTTTCTTCCAGCTGAATGAGTTCTGCCATTCTTAACTCGGTCCCATTTTGGCACAAATCCTTCCTCAGATGTGGTCACACATATGGATTATATCCCATCTGTTTAAAGGTTTAAATGTCTAAACCCTTAATGTTTGGATAATAGATGGATACGGTAGCTTTGTTATTCTGTAGTGAGCGTCTCATTGAGCTTCCCAGCTATTTAGCTTCTGAGCTCTCTGTATAATTGTGTGTAACCTTTAAATCAGAATGTTTAACCCCTTGATTTATGATCTTAAGCTCCATTATTCAGATGACTTTAACTTTCAATATCTGAGTTCGTACAGTAGGAGTCTTTCCAAAGCTCATCTGTAGCACCGCTCAAGCATCTGGCTTTCTGATCTTAAGCTGGAATAACTTCCAGCAACAGTGCTGACAAAAAAGAACGTTTTTTTTTTTTTAGTACCAATGCCTTTTTGCTCTTTTTGTTCCCTTATATATTGATGCTTGCTTTTTTTTTTTATTCATTTTTCCATTCTATACCGTAGTTATTTCATTGTTCTCATGTAGTGGTCCAGTTATAGGGATTTAATTTTCCTTTTGAAGACCAAGCGTGTGGCTAGGAAGAGAGGTGTGTCTGATGGAAAGCAAGCAGAAGTGCCCAGCAAGATAGGAACTGCAGCCCAGCAGGCTGCGAAGCGGGGTTTCGGGGTTTCTTGGTGGCAGTCTCTGGGCCTGCAGAGACTTTAGCCATTGTACTTTCCTCTTGCTTTTGGAGGTGGTTTCCATGGGCAGAAAATTTAAGCTCATTGAGGGAAAGTGCTTAGCTAGCTTGTTTCTCTGGTGCTTGTGTAATGCCTGTTTTGAGAGTAAAAGAGAAACCTCATGTTCCAGGCCTGTCACTATGGTCCTTTTCCACCAGCACTAAATCCTCTTCAAATATATATTTTTGTAAAGCTCTTTGAAAGACTTAATGGACTGTGATTTTCCTCATTGTGGAAGAGCTGTAGCGAGACTGAGAGTGATACTTAATAGTCTGTCGAGAAAAGATATATTTAAAAAAAATTACTTTTTTAAAGAAAACAGTGCTTTTGTTAGTCTGGTATTATTTCTGGCAACATCACAAGCTTTACATCTAAGTGATCCAGACTTAACTTATATAAAAACAGTTCTCCGGGTGTTTACACGAATGAATTGGTGGTTCTTCCATTGTTTTCTCTCAACTACCGGCAAACATCCTCCTGGAAAGTTGAGCTGAACTCTCCTGAGCGGCTGATGTTCCAGATTTTGTCCACGATGCCCCTTTGCAGATGCAGGGCGCCTGCAGAGGTTCCCTGGGAGCAAACTGTTGCGCGACTGTCCTGCAAGGCCGTCGCTGAGACGTGACCCTCTCTGCTTTCCTTTGCATGCTTACTGATCCCGTTGCACGCAGCCATGTCAAAGTCAGCTGTCAAAATCTCTTCGGACCTGCTGTCTAACCCCCTTTGTGAACAGGATCCCGTCTTCCTGGAGATGGTCACGGCTTTTGACACAGCGATGAAGAGGATGGACTCTTTCAACCAGGAGAAGGTGAATATGGGTCAGGGCTGAAGCGAGGGAGACCAGGGTGTGCTGCGGCGCTCTCCCCTCCAAACAGGTCCTCCTTCCCTTTTTGTCATGATCAAGATGCTTTCCACATTAAGTTCTCCATGAGCTTTTGCAACCTTTCTGCTGTCAAGGGCAGGGGTTCCTCCTGTGACTGTCTGGCGCTGGGCTTGCTCAGATGTTAAGGTTTCTGCAGAAAACTCCGAGGTTTGTTCTCTCCTCTCTCTCCTGCCCGTGTTTCCTGCGTGACGTGCGCCGGTGCGTGCGGTCCCCCCCCCCGCCCAGCCGGGGAGTGGCAGAGCGCTGGCAGCCGGTCCTGGGCTCTCTTTTCCCTGGCACATCGCGCCGTGCCAAGCACCTAGAGCAAAGCGGCCCGGCGTGCCAGCCGCGGGACAGGAGGTCCCTTCTGCGCCCTCGTGCTGTTGGTCATGCTGGGGATTGCAGCTTGTCCCAAGCACATGGGAGAAGGTGGTTGGTTTTTGGTTAAGGGGCGTTACGGTAGTGCTTGGAAGCCCACGTTGTGGGCGCTGTGCAAACATGTAACGTTGTTCGAACAGGCGTTTTCAACGCGCCTGGCATATAATCATCCGTTTTGCTTTCCACAGGTGAATCAGATCCAGAAGACAGTCATAGAGCCTTTGAAAAAGTAAGTACCAACACTGTCGTATGAGCCATATCAAGCGTTTGTCATAACCGTGTTCTTCAGGGACATGTGTCATTGAAAGAGATGTTGTCAGGTTTAGAAATCAGTCCCTCATAAAGAGGTAATCGTTCCCATCCCTGTAACAAAACGGTATCCTCCTTGTTTTACAGCAGAACTGAGGCGTGGAGAGACGGTACGGTTTAGCTAAGTCCCCGCGGTTAGTCTGTGGCAAGGGCAAAGACCTCTAGGGTCTTCGTCTGCCAAATGTATTTATCTGTGCCTTAGAGAACACCTGAGATGAGCAATATTGACTGCGTTAAAACATCCAGCTTCTCTTTGTTTATGCGTTTGGCTGCTTCCAGCGTTTTGCTCCAGCTGAAGAAGGAAAATCACTAGTCGGTCCCTCTCTGGGCACTAGGCGCGTTCAGCCCTTGGTCTTTAAGAGAGAACAGCGCAATCCAACACAGTGCTGTGCCCCCAGGGCTCCTGGTGATGCGTGTTTGTTTGCGCAGAAGTTTGTTTCCTTTGGAAGTTTACTAAATAAAAAAAGAGAAAGTACAGAAATATTTTTATTGCTTTTCGGTAAAGGCTTCCATGTTTATAAATCCCACGCTCACACAGGAAGCAAACAGACCTTATAGTGTCGTCGTAGCTAGGCGATGAGCAGGTGGGAAATAAGGACGCTGAAACACCTGGCACGCCGTATCCCGGGCTGATAGCATTGATAAAGGGACAGAATATCTTAAGACCTGGGAAAAGCATCCCGCCAAGCTCTGCCTGAGTCTCGAAAGCGCTGCAGACCAAGCGCCTGTGGTGGCTGCTCAAAGGCAGAGGTCTCCCATGGGACCGCGCGCAGGGAAGCCACCTGCAGCGTCCCGTCGAGACCCTTTTCCCGGGAGGAAAGGGCTGGCGCGCTCTCACACCCGTGCACAGCGCTGCCTGTGCGCAGGCCACGTAGCTCGGAAATACTACTCCCTTAGCAGGGAGCGAGAACCGAAGTTGTTGTGGCGATACTGTTCCCGGAGCAGATTTCCATGTTCCCCCCCCGCCGTTCCTTCCCGACGTTCGACGTTAACTGGTGCCTCGCGGTGCGTCAGAACTCAGTCATGCCTCAGCACCACGGCAATTTTGTCACCTCGGTCTCATCTGGTGCAATTCACCTCTGTCTGCACAGTTTCCACTGGCGTTAGCAGCCATTACAGGTGTCACAGACTGTACCCCCTAAACATTTAAGGAGCGTTTCAGTTGTTATGCCAAATGTCTTCTGAAATCCTGAGATTTGCTATTTCGTTACGAGAACAGAGCAAGAGAGCGAAAATAAAATAAAATGACTTTAATATGACAGTAAGTGTTGCAAATTGCTGAATAACAATTTTAGCTTAGGTTTGACACAGGGTGGTTTTTTTTTTTAAGTTGTTGTTTCTGCCCAAATCTGAAAGTAAAATCTCATGTACCACTTAGCACATGAGGTTACACTGTGTTTCTATCCGGGGGATGTTTGGTGACTCAAGTTTTACTTTGGTCGTCTATCATTGACAAGAAATTCTTGATTATTTAAAAAAAAAAAAAGGGAAGAGGGAAGAAAGAAAAAAAAAATCACTGGCTTGTGCTGTGGAATTGTGTTGCTTATTATCTAGATTGTCCTCATGAAAGATACATTAACTTTTTTCTTCCAGCATTCTGTTAAAACTGAAAGAAGTACTTGTATGTCTGAAGTCTTCTTTTTTTTTTTTTTTCTCACTTTGTGTTAGTTGGCATAATGAAAGATAATACCTCTCCCTGCAAACCTTGCTGCGCGTATTAAACCCTGGTCAGTTTATTGGGTCTCTGATTCGAGATAATCATGCCCATTGCTGCATCACTCTCCTCTTACTCTGCGTTTGTGCAGTGTTTAGCTCAGGAATGGTATGCTAGGTGTTGCAGTAGCATAAACGATGCAGAAGGGGAAAAGACCCCTTTGCTGTCACTTTGGGTTTAGAAGCAGCTATGCAAGATCAAGTCATGTTGTTCCTGCTGTGAGGAACTGTTGGGGAAATGCTGGAGTCCTGCAGGAAACGGGAGGCCAGTGGGCTGTGTTCCCCCTTCAGCCCAAGCCCGGTGCCCAGGAGCGCTCTTTCGGTGGGAGCTTTCATCTCACAAGGTGTAACGCTCAACTCGCCATTTATCAGCCAAGTTCTTCAGGGAAGCGTAAGGGTGTTTACTTCAGTGTCCTGGCTCCTTTCCAGCCTTGGCAATTCTCTCTAACTTCCTAAATTTCCACTGGACTTGAATATGGTATTTTTTCCCCTTCCTGCCCTTTGGCACCTGCAAACAGTTGCTGCGTGCTCTTAAACAGCTTATGTTTCATGCTTGAAGAGGCTGCATCTCAATGCTGAACAAAAAATGTTCCTTTCGTTCCCTCTCCCTGACTCTCCATGAGCATAGGTACGTGCATGGATGTGTCGTACAGCCAGGAACATTTCTGCAGAGCCCAAGGGTCCATTTTGAGGCTAATGAGATGCAGGAGAGAAATGCAAAGCTTGCACCTCCCCTTGTCCTGCTGGCAGATAAACCCCAGTAATGTTTCTAGGATAAAAGTTTCAGATTAATGAAAGCTGCCTTGAGGATCTCTTCTTATTTCCAGTTAGGTATTGCTTCCCCTCTCAGAGACAGCTCTCCCCAGCCTCTCCCAAACTTGCTTTGACCTAGAAACAGGCTTTGCTTCAACAGCTGCACTTTATTACATCTTCACTGGTGGTCTTTTTATAGTTTATTAGCCAAAGACACAGATAAGTATAATCCAGGCAATTATCATTAGTGGTAATATATTGTAATCAGAGGCACATGTGCAGTAAAATCTCCATTCAGTTGTCCAGGGATAGTGGATTTCAGAGGAGTACTGGAGAATTTGTCAAAAGAAACCAAGTAGAAGAAAGCATTAGTAGATTTAAAGGGGGGTGGAGGCTCGTACTGTGTAAATCTCTCTGCTTCTGGGGACATAGGGTTACTCAGAAGTTTGCTTTTTGAGCCCCAACGAGCACTTGGCTGGAAATCGCTCACTTAATTTCACTGAATGAGCAAAGCTCTAGTGAGACTATTACATATTTGAGTGTGTGGGTTGGGCAAGAATATGGGTGGCTGAGGAAGGTCAGGAGGGGTCTGCTCTCCTCTCGGGGAGATGCCTGCATAAATTCACACCAGAGCCGTGGATTGGGGGCAAGGGGGAAGAAAAACAGCTGCTTTTTACTTCACTTTCTAGTTTCCAGTTGTTCATTCTGGCTCGAGCAAGGAGCGAGGTGTATTGGCTGGATCTGGGATTGGTGATAGACTGTGTACTGTCATCTTAGTATTACATATTGTGTGTCAGCATTTAAGGAAGGAAGCAGTTTAAAGGAGCCAGGTGGTTTGGAGATTCATGGGCTTTAATGCCTTTCACGTTTGGAGCTGATTTCCATTCCCGTCGGCTCTTGCTTTCGCCAGCCATCGCGCTCGCAGCCTCCCGGCTTATCAGGCTGCCGCGGAGCCCGCAGCCCTGGCGCGGCACCGGCCCCCCGGTGCAGCGGGTCGGCCCGCTCCTCCGGCC